CGTTTTTGTTTAAAAACTATTTTTCGCTCTCCAATAAATACTAACAATAAATATGCTGGAATCTCGTGTAAGAAATTATAATTTCAACATATTATGCTAGATTTTTTCAAATATTTTAGGATATTTTTGTTCAGATTTTATTTTTGCTAATTTTCGATTAGCATTTATAAATCACCATATTTCTGATTTTTTTCCCCTATGTTTTTGTTGAAAAACTATTTTCCGCTCTCCAATAAATACTAATAATAAAAATATTTGTCATAAAGTTTCATTTTGGGGAAAATTATTTTGCACTTAGAAGTTAGAACCTAATTTACCGGAGAATCGGTTTTGCCGGGAGTATCGCGGAGCAACAGAGTCCCAATTATAATTTGATGAAATAGGTGAGATTAATTTAATTCCTACCATATTGTGTTATAATATAAATCCCCACAAGATGAAACCTTTAAGCAAATGGTTTATGTGCAAGTTTCAACTTTTTATTCTCTGATAAATTTGTCTACTTGTTTAGTAATTGGTTCTTTTTTTCTTTCTGTGCCTGTTCTGGTGTATTTGATGTGGCGCAGTCGCTGACTTATAACTGTTGCTGTTGCTGCTCTCACTTTTCTCATTTACAGAAACCCATGAATTTCAATTGCAGAAAATGTTCACCAGCCAACAAGCATAATTATAATTCTTGTATGGCTTTAAGTTATGTACACTGGCAATGTAAAAATTATGCTATCCGTGAATTTTGACTTGTGGTAGGATGCTATTTACCATATTTACCTGATTACTAATTAATGTTTATCAAGATATTTACCTATAATTGTCCAATAATTGACCTGATAGCATGAATTTTGACTGTGATAGAAGGTTAGTTACCATGTTGCGCCTACCTTAACTAATTCCACAGTATATCTACTAGCTAGCACTAGCAACAGAAAAGTTACCATCTTTACTTGATTAGCGTTTAATGCTTATCAAGAGATTTATCTGTAATTACCTAATAATTGACCTGATAATGTAAATATATTTTATACTATCAATGAATTTTGACATGTCATGGGACCTTAGTTATCATCCTTATCTGATTACTAGTATAAGTTTATCAAGAGAGTTGCATGCAATCATCCAATAATTGACTTGATAGACTGATGTGTAACATATTTATCCATCATTCCATTCTCTTGGAACAATGAACCTAAATATCTGAATTGTTTGCATTTGAGCGCCTCAACCCCATCTAATCTCACCTTGATTTCGCTCTTTTTATGTTGGCTAAACTTGTAGTGCATATAGCAGTCCTACTGTTACTTATCCTAGGACCCTTACTCGCTAGAGTGCTTATCCATGATTCAAGCTTTGGTTGACATTCTTGATGGTTTTGTCAATCGGTACAATATATCAGCAAATAACATACATCATGAAACCTCATTTTGTGTTGTTTTGGTTATCTCATCCATCACAAAGGTAAACAAATACGAGCTCAATGTCGATCCCTAGTGTAAACCCACGGTTATTGGATATTCCTTTGTATCTTCTACTACTGATCTCACGCTAGTGACGGGACGGATTCTTCATACATGCCCCACAAGATGAATCTTTAAGAAATTGTTTATATGCAAGTTTCAACTTTGATAAATTCGTCTACTTGTTTAATAATTGGCATTTGTTTCTGGTGTATTTGAGTTGCGATAGATATATACATGGCTGTATAATTGCATGATTCTGATGGGGCATCATGAGATAAAGTCTTCCACTAGTAGAGATAGGTCTCCGTTACAGCAGAGGCACAGGCATAGGCATAGGCCTAAGGACATGGATTTGAATAAAGAATTGTCATCTGAAAGAAGAGAACGAAGATCAGGAAGAGATGTAGTTGAGCATAGGTCTCCTAGGCCGAGACATGATTACTCCTATTCAGCTTCAGATCATCAAAGCATGGATCATCGCAGATCCAGTTCAAATTTTAATGTTGACACAGAAAGACAAAATGAGGTGCTTTATTTATGAATACCCTTTTACATTGGAGTATTCTGCTTTTTTTTTTTTTGTGCACTTGTTGTTTACTATATTGCTATTGGATATGCTTAGAAGAGTTGTTAAAAGACTGCTTAAACTAAATTCTGGCATAGACTGCCATTTGTGGAGTTTGAGAATTGAAATACGTGGGCGTCGAATAATTAAGTGGAAGGTGGAAATTATGAGAAACAGAATATTAAGATAAGTAAAACAACGGAAAAGGGCCAAAGCAACCCCTGAAGTATTGCCTTAGGACTATAAATACCCTCCATCCACCTATCAGTCCAAAAATGTCCCCACCGTTACTTTTTGGGCTCATTTTTACCCTTATGACTAACGGTCAACCCGGGATTTGCGAGACCATAACACCACCATACATTTTCAATAAGGCCATTGAAGTTGCATAAAGCCGGAAAAAATGGAGATCGCTGGATACTTTTTTGAAGGATCCAAATTTATTTTTCTTCCTCTCTTTTCTGCTAGAAAAAGTTGAAGCTGCTTATTCTTGTTCTTTAGATTCAAACGTCTCACTATTTATTGAAAAGAATTGTGGCTGGAAAAGTGGAATTTTGCCGGAATCTTCTTTTTCGGTCAATTCCTTCTCTTTATCTTTATGTTTTTCGGAGATTTTATGTTTTCCAGGCGGGTTAGTGTTTGGGTTAGAAAACTGGGTATTGAGGTGGGTTTATTTAACTGGGGTCATGGTTTAAATTTGGACCAGTAATAAAATGCCACGTGAAATTTAAATAATTTTTTCCTAATTCAGTGTTGGCCGTTAGTCATAAGGGAAGAAATGAGCCCAAAAAGTAAGGGTCGACGCATTTTTGGATTGATGGGTGGACGGAGGGTATTTATAGCCCTAAGGCAATAGTTCAGGGGGCAGTTTTGGCCCTTTTCGGGTAATGAAAGAAGATAACAGTATGAATCTCATCTATATCTCTTAAGACAACCTAGTTTAACTTGGCCTAAGACACCCGAAAAGAACAGGATAACAAGCACTAAGAAGGAATTGATGGATGTTGGAGCTTGCGTTGCCTTGAAATTTCTACTTTGTCAAACAAGAGAGTAGGGGAAATTTGACTAATGTTGTTTGGTGGAGGTGCTCGAAGAAAGTAAAAAACTTGAAATTTCTAAAATCTGAAAGAGGAGTAAGTTGAGAACGATGGAGGAAGGAATAATAGGTAGCAATTTACAGCGGCAAAGACAAATTAGAAAGGTATGATTGCCTTTTTGATTGAATATCCATCTTTCTTTTTCAAATAGGTGAATATCCATCTTTTCTTGAACCTTGTAACCAACAGTGGTTCGCTTCCTTTGTTTGTTCTAAAAATCGGATGTTAGAATCCCTAGCATACTCTTCTTTCAATTTTAGCCAAAGATTCTGTACTTCAAGTTGCAATTTGCATATTTGTCCTCTCTCACACAGGAAAGAATAATCTAGTTACTATTCCATCTTCTCAGGTCTTCAATTCAACTGGTCCCGAAAACTGGTAAGCCTCTGATGGAGCTTTTGGTTCTTACTTTAACTCTTCTTTTCCGTACATGTCCATAAACTTCCTTGCCTTTTTTATACCTAGTCAGGTAGAAAATCAGGAAATCTTTCTTGTCAAGAATACTTGAAGTGTTACCCATATTTAGAATATGGCATGAAGTTATCAAGGTTTTTAGTTCTTAATTTCCTTGTACTTTTCTGGCGTGTTGGTAGCAGTGATATGGTGTGATGAAAATAGCAATAAATAGCTGAAAATAATATCTATTGTGATGAAATTAATATTTTATTGATTTGATGGAGAAAAAAGTTCCACATACAAGGTGCATAAAAAGATAATGAATTTTTCAAAACAAGGTGTATACGGAAGTAGAAGATCCTGTATCAAAACATTAAACCTCCGGAAAAAAATACTTCACTCATCAACACTAACTGAAAGATCAGTTCCAAAAGTAGACAAAAGATAAAAGAGGTCCAATAATATGTGCTAGTGTGTTTTCAACTTCTCGACATTTTTCAGTTCCTCTATTTGTCTATTGTCCACATGAGCATCCAAGGACCAATTTCCCATGCTTTCCTTCTCTGCCTCTTCTAAACTTCCTAGATTCTCTCTGCCGTTCCTAGCATCACAAAATCAACTCTGAATATAAGTTCCTAAAGCTCCGTTTTGGCTGGGCTATGGTGAGAGGCTCTTGCTTCTCTACGCATTTCATACTGTTCACAATCTTGAATGATGTAATTAAAATACTGATTGGTCGAATTTACCTCTTGTTTGATCAGCACATATAACTCCCTTTACCTTTCTTTTGAGTCAATCATTACTTGCCTGAGCAGGAAGGAAAGAAATGATCCGATGACTAAAACGAAAGCAAACGAAGAGTACCTGGAAGCTAAAGAGGAGGTAAATGATTCTGCCGTCGTTATTATTTTATTTTAATCAAAAATTACCTTCCGTTGGGTCTAGAAAGTTGCAGCACAATTTGATTTTTTTTGCATTTCAACTGTTTAAATTTTGGGTATTGCAAAATGGAATATTTGCCTCTGCATTGTCCTTTAACTTCATATACTAAGTAGCTTCAATTACTGTTATGCAGCAAATGACATTGTTAGAGCTGTCCGGAGATCTTACTACAGAATCTAAACAACACACAGGTGGTAATTGTATTTCGTTTTAGCTTCATATCCCAAAGAATTCCTCTTTTCATGCTCCCGTCCTCAAGGAGAGTAGGAGACTTTGGTTACAGATTCTGATACACATTATACTCAAACCTTTAGGTTGAATATATAGATTTCTTCATGGTCTCCTCTGTAATCCTCTTGTACAGTTCTCTTTCTCAAAAGAAAAATTATATGTTTACAGACACACTTATTACACACACACACACACTCTGCCAACATCCAAGTCCAATAATCTATTATGACAAAGAAGTAGAAATTACTACTCATTTCTTAGAGAATTTCTGAAATGCTTGGTCTCTCCAATACTGGCCCTAAAATCAAGTAGATTCTTATTGATATTAGGGTTTTTCGGATATTGCCCCATAGATGTAACATGTCCATTCTAATGGTCACACAGGTTTTGCTACGAAATTATGAGACTAAGGTCTTTGGTTATGGCTTTGCCCCATCACTACTTTAGCTCATCATATTTTACTTTCTTTTATGTTCTGAACGATCCAATTATTAGAAAGGGAATGAATTTTGATGAAGGTGTCATAAGATGCACTTCTGGTGAGCTATCAATGTTTTGCTGCAGATACCTATTCCGTTAACTTGCTTAACCGAAGCTTAAGTAATGTCTATTTTGTTTCTTTTCTTTTTGTTTTGGGAGGTGTCTGGATGGACTAGTACACTTTCCCAGTTCTTTGTGAAACGAATTTCACATGAGAACTCTCTTTTCTCTATCTTCAATAAATAGGGAAAAGGGTCAAATTTGTAGCTTGAACTTTGCGAAATGTTTCAGATTTTGCCTTCGTTAATAGTTGGGGTTAGATCTAGTCATGCTGTAACGAAATTGGGCTAGATTTACCTTATTGACTATTGACAGAAGCTTTCTGACACATGGCCCTTTTACAATTGAAAAGGGATCAAATTTGCCCTTGAACTACGCAAAATGGTCCAGATTTGCCCACTTCTGTAACTCTACTCTCCCACATGGTTACAGTCTAGCCCGCTAAACATACGTGTCAGTGCACAGAGCCAAATGGTCTCTCTGTACTTGATGTAATGCCTAACCATATGACATAATTTTAAGGCTTTGTATAGATACCTTGGTTATATTCTGTATGATGCGTGGAAGATGTTAGGAGAGAATTATGGGGTTGAATTTTAAAGGAGGTACTAGGTAAGGTATATGTACTTTTTCTGCCTTCTCTTAGTTCCCAAATTAGCTTGCATAAAAGTTGCTGGACGTATTTGCATTATCTATTTTTCTGTGTACGTTGTGTAAGCCTATTAATTCTTATAGGATATTGGCTGATTTTAAGATATATTTACCAGCAGAGGGGAGGAAGGAGATTTCACTGGAATACAACAGCAACATGAAGAAGGCAAGACTCCATTCAACATTGGTTTCTCTCCTCAACGATCCTGTGCTTTCTGATGTACCAAAAAAACCAACTCTGATGGATGTGGACACCCTTATCAGCTTGGAACTTGGGAGTGCCATGCGCATCTCTATCCTCAAATTGGATGGCAGCTGCTTTGGTACCTACATCTCTCTGTTATTAGTTGTGAACTTTTTTTTTGTTGGTTGAATTAGACAAGAATAAGCAGTTACATGTATTAATTTTCTTCTTTTGCCGTGAAGATGTAACAGTGATGAATTCCGCGACAGTTAAAGACTTGAAACAAGCTGTTCGCAAAAGGATAGATGACAGTGAGCAATCTAAGATGGGCCATCGGCATATTTCTTGGTATGTTGCTTGAAATGTTATAGGATTACGTGACTTAGTGTTCATAGATTTGGCTCATGATTTCCTCATAGCCCTCTTATGGATATATGAACTTTTTCCTCATTGTAACGGGAATAAAAGCGAAGTAAGGCAAAAAGAAAATTCGGACACGTGCTGTAAGAGGATAAATCAGCAAAAAGAAGAGAGTAAACTGGAAACAGAGAAAAATTAAGGGAAAGGTCGAAGTTTGCTAAATCAGCAATTTGCCAAGAGGAACTAAATTTGAAGGTAGCCTCAGAATGATGATATGGTGCTGGACCTGCTGGTACCTATTCATAGAGGATTTATAGCTATCTCTTGGGGAGTAACCCAGAAAGAGCGAGTGACCAGGTATTTCACCAAGCTGAACGGCTGCCAGCCAATGTAGGTGCCTCTGAAGACATTGTAACATAACTCACCAACACTTTTGACAAACTACAATTGGTTGATTCATTAGATGTTTCTGTCTACTTTAATGGAGAATATTTGATCACATAAATCCTTCTGGAACCCTGGCTCGTATAAGTGCTAGTACTTTTATTTCCATGCTGAAGAAAATAGATTTGTTGGCGCAAGGATTCGTCATTGCATCACTTTGGCTCACTTGATGTTCTAGCGTATACTAGCCGGAACTTTGATTGAACTTTTAGCTGCTATAGTTTTCTTTAGTTTTAACATCAGTTACATTGTTCAAGATATTATTGTAATGGTCAAGCATAGATGTCTTGAGCTATAGCTTGATGATACTCATTTTGAGCTACTTGTAGAAATGCTAACGTTTATTTTCTCTCCCTTTTATTAACTTGAATGTTTATTGTTGATGCACAGGAGGCATGTCTGGTCAAATTTTTGCCTTTTATTTCACAATGAGAAGTTACTAGATGATACTGCTAAACTTCAGGACTACGGCATTAGGAACAATGCTCAGGTATTTTACTTTGGTGCTCACATTCATGTTGCAATTGCATTGCCAAATGTCAGTACTTGTTTTTCAGAAGATTACCCATAATGATCTCCAGAAGTTGTACATATACCTGATGCCAAACTGCAATCTAATTGAAGAAAACACTCATGAAATATTTTTTTTTTACCAGAGAAGAGTTTCAAAAACCTAATCTCCCATGAGTCACAGTTTCAGATGTTGAGTTCACTTTGTAATATTTTCTACAGTAGATTGCAGTTGTCACTCACCTTCGGCTTATTGTTATTAAAAATTTAAAATCCCTAATGAAGGGCTTCAGCTTCGCAGATTGCAATAGAACCTTTCTTTATCGTGTGCCTATGGGTTCACCATATCTTAGAATAAACAGGTGTTTAAAGAGATAAAGCCAATGCTTCAAATAGCCTCATCTCTAGTTAAGTCAAACTAGTATTATTAATAGTTCCCAAACAACAGTGGTTTCTCAACATTGTAGTCACTTTAATACCCACTAATTAAAACTATTATGTAATGTTGTTACAAACTCTTCTGGTATTCCATGTGGTAGAAGCCTATGTATGGAGTTGAGCTTCTTGTAATCCAGGGTTAATGCAAATTTGTAACCCTTGCCATGTCCATATCCCTTGAAAGTGCTTGATTTGTCTCATGCTGATTTGACCTTAAGTTTCGTGCAGTGCTTCATTGGAAACTGGAAAAGATACATTAGCTTAATACGTGCAACTTAGCTAGTACACACGTCAGAAGCATGTGTAAAGCATGGGTAGTACTATTTACAGTTGGCCCTGCTGAAGCACTGCAGTTGCAGCATTAGTATCATATAAGTAAATAGCAACTGCTAGATGTCTGACTCAATCTCTTCAGAATACAACTATAGTGCAAAGACTAATGCAAGCTTCAACATGGATCAGTAATGCATTAATGTCTGGGATATTACCATATTAGGCCGCAGCTCTATAGTGACCACTTCCATAATTTGGAATTATCCTCGGGAGTTCAGAATAAATTAAATCATCAGGAGAGCCAATTCTGGCAATTTCCAAATATTAGTAATCTGATCATAACGATATCGTGCTTAATATTCTTGAACGATCAAGTTAATGAAAGAACTCCTATTTATTGAAAACTACCGTAAGTATAAAACCTAGCAGAGGAACTGGATTTCTCGTTGCCTTCGGAACAATTTGAATTTCAAGGGTGATGTGTTAGTTGCTTGTCCTGCAAATCATTGTGATCTCTTGTCCCGCAGATTGATTGTGGAAAATGGAAATCGACCTTTTGGTCTATATTGTACTGACTTTACCTTTAAGGGTTTTCCTTTTCTGTTTTGAGAAATAGTAAGAAATTATATTAACGGTTAGGATGGAGATGTGAATCCTCCTCTAAAAGAGGACTAAGTTTTACATTCCAAATATTGGCTCTCTTAAAGTAGTGAAAGTTGGAATACCATTTTTGGTTGGCCTCTTGTAAGATCTTGTGTGATTCTCGATTCGTTCTTGTCTAACTTGAGAAGTTTGACAGGTGCAATTCATTCCCTATGTCATCTCGAGGGCCTCAAAGAAGCATTCAAAGAGGAGAAAACACCGATTTTTTCATGGCCTAAGCAAAAAGGGACGAACAACTGATTGAATCAGGGGTTAGATTACTGCATACATAAGTATTGAATCAGGGATTAGATTACCGCATACAGAAGCCATAGAATGCTTCTATCTGGCTTCTAACCACAGATGTAATAGCAGCGCTGGTGTAAAACCAAGGAAAAGTAAATCAAGCCTAGGCGCCTTCTCAATTGCCTAGTTTTGAGATGAGCTTGAATGGAGTGAGATGGCCAACAAGTATTCAAATAGTTGAGCTCTACTTTTTTGGATTGAGGTCTAGTTGTTGCTATTTTTCAACCGCCTAGCTTTATAAAGTATAGCTACGAGAGGTACCATTTTATGTTAGATTTTTCCCTCTGTAGAAAGCTCTATTTGGCTAACCGTGTTACTTTCTGAAACGTTTTCTGGTTTGGGAGTAAATGTAACAATTCACGAAAAGGTTACTTCCTAATGAACACGTAGTCTCAACATTTATAACCAATATTTGTGTACAAATTATTAGATGTAAATTTATTCCTAGTAATCAGTTTATTTGATTTTCAAATTGATACTAGAACCGTTAACTCGTCTGCTTTTGTTTGTGCCAAGAGACTAGTACCCTTCAGATAAAGGTGTCCACGGTTTGGTTTAACTTGATTTTGGGTGAGGTGCACAAATAGCCCATTTTAGGACAGTTGGGACTGCTATTTAGAACATTACCAAATTTAAAAAGTATTTAAGATTTACATTATACAAACTGGCTATATTTTAAATAGCGTATCTAAAAGCTATTGTACCTCGACTTTTACTCTAAAGACACTAAACTGACCATATCACAAGGCTAAACATAAGAGCAGATATTTTATCTTTATTATGATAAATAAGGATAGGGCATTAGAACAGAACCATGGCCAAATATTATACAGGATATTTACATATAAATAAGATCTATATTGTACAGAGTGCAACAAACACCCCTGTCAAATGATCTACTCTGCCAGCCAAGTAAAAACCTAACTACATTGACCATCAAAACATGACTGTAAAGAATGAACTATAGCAAGAGTAGACCACAAACAGACCCAATGACTAACTACTACAAATACATATTTCTGTTTACCAACTTTTTATGTTATACCCTACCAAACGTATCAGATTCAAAAGTCCGATTTCATAAGCTGCATTCGTGGCTTTATTGTGACATCGTCAAAGGGTATCACTTGCTCTACATGGACGTAATCTCTTGTTTTAAGAACCTGCAATAAACACACACGTACACACAAGGTGATTTAAATTGCACTTGCAAACAGAGGAAAAGGGCAGTAACAAATGTTCTAGGAAAAAGACAAATGATACAGGCGTTACATACCAAAGCTTCAAAAAACATCCTCGACGCCTCCTTTCGCGTTTTACCAACTAACAGACTGTCCATGGAGAGAGATTTCCTCCCACGCTCAGATTCCTTAATAAACAAGGTTTGGAGGTACTTGGAAACAGCCCTAAGTAAACAAACATCATTGTGAAAGCCGCCGAAATATTAGTTCATAAACAATAGCATCTAGCTACAAGCTTCTCAAGGAAAATATTAAGATAAAATTAGAAAAATAACAGACCCTATCTATAGGCAAAAGGAAAGGAAGCCAAAGCCTTAGAACTAATATCCCTGTTAAAAATTTCATCAAGTATGTATCACATTCCTATCATGTAAAGTTTCTAATTTTTATTCACAGAGTATATGCAGCTTCCTTAATCATTCCGGACTTAGAATTCACAAATTAGTAATAGGATGTTATGGTGGGGTGGGGGGGTTAAAGCCCCATTTATTGAGAGATCGGCAACATAGAAAATCACAAGTCCCACTAGCATCATTAAAACTCTCATCGAACAACCTTGGACACAACTGACCTAAGATGCTGGTTTAGCTACTGCTTATCAGACCGAGCTTTATTGATCCACTATCTTAATATGCCACATCTGTTAGTTGGCAGAAAAGACTAACTAAACCATTCTGCGGGACTAAAAGAAGAGGGATAGTTGAATCAGAGCAAGAAGGCAAGATATGGGGTAGTTCATCCGGTACTCTACACGTGGATTACTTCCTTCAATGTCAATACTTGTCAAGAAGAAAAAAAGGAAAAAGAAAAGACGAAATGCACCATTTAAGACATAAAAGAACGACTCACAAGTTTCGTCAAAATATACGGTGAGAGCAACAAGGAAGAGAAAAAGAAGGAAAAACAAGCAAGAAGCAGGAATTTAAAGAGGTCCTTTCCCGAACACATTTCTGTTCTGAAAATATTGAGCTTCTTGGGTTACTTGACAATTTTGTATTTTTGCCCTTGCTAGATTAAGGAGCGAAAAAAGCAGGCAGGCAAGGAGGGTAAATTTGCCTAAAATGTCACTCAGTTTGTGCAGCCCTGTTAAAGCAGCAGAATAACAGGAAACAAAAGCACAAGCTACACACCTAGTACGAGAAGACCATCCACTGTTCTCGGTGATACGGGTGACATCAGCATCAGGTACATAATCATCAACTGCCTCGGCTTCTTCATCATCATCATCGAAGTTCAAAAACCCTAGATACCAACAACAATGATAAACCAGAGCTAAGTGCATGGAATCACAAACACCTTTGAGAAATCTTGCAAAAACTTCCAAATAAACTTACATTAACGAAGTTGGCACCTTGGTTGGTTGTTGTTAGTCAAGTATTAATAGTTATCTTAGGTGAAATATAGCATTGGTCTCCCATCTCTCATAAATACAGCTATATACATTGTAAATTGTTCCTATAAACGGATTCCGAGTTAAGACATTAGTCTTCAGACATCTCTCAAACTCTTCTAATTGTGTCACTTATTTCTTCACATATTTAAATGCAACAGGGACAAAGAGGAGTCGTTAAGGAGAGACCTTCAAAACAATTTTACAACAAATAACATCAAACCAAATGCAGACTTTGGCAATGCCATCATCGAATTTACATTACCATTAGAAAATTCAGATACAAAGTTCTGAAATCCATTAAGTAACCAAACATGCCTTCTGTTATTGCAAATTCAAAACTATTTTCATACTACTCCAGTTTGACATTGTTTGATTTTCTTTCTTTTGAGGCAATTGGAAGTTTTCAGGTCTTACAAAGTTGCAGGTCAGGGAAAACAAACCTGTATCATCTCCAGCAGCTGAATAATCTAGATCCTGCAGAAAATACAACAAATGAGAAAAGCACAATTCAGCAGAGAGCAGATATCAAAGAAAATCTCTTCATTAAAGCAAAGAAAAACAGCATCATTTCAAGCCCATTTCAACAAAAGCAACCAGCTGACAAAGAATCTAGTAGTTTGGAAAAGCAAAACAGCGCAAGACTAAAGGGAACATCCAGCGTACATTTCATCTAAATGATGACAAAGTTTCTCATACATATTGCGCTACCCAAAAAGGTTTACCAATCACTTATAGCCAAGACTATAAATTATCCAACTTACAGATTCTTTACGAAACTCTAATTAGTTCCTTGTCAGCACAAATTTGTGATGCCCTACAGTTAGTAGTGATACTTCATGTAATAGGTTAGTTAGCAAAATTAGTTACGATGAGCATATTGATGTTTTCTGTACTCAACTTTCTTACAAAATTCAATAGAAGCTATATTTTAAGAGTACTGCAGTTTTGCAGTTCATAATTGTCTTTTTAAGGCCTAAATTTCAGCGGTCGCATTTTACTACCTTGATATCTCAAAACTATCTATAACAATCTAGAAGTGATCCTGGGCATTTCTATCAAGTACATCAAAACAGAACAAATAATGTTGTTATATATATATATACACACACACACACACACACACACACACAGAGTACTGAAACTATAGAAAACGAGAGCACATGGAAACACGAAACTTAGCAAAACTTACATTAAGGTCCCCCCGATTGGCATCAGAGAAATCTGCAGCCACCGTATTGTAGGAGAAATCTTCTTCTTTACATGGATATTGTCCAGCTCCTATGGAATGATCCAGCATATAATCCATTTCTTCATATACAATATCCCTGTTAGGTTGGTCAGTTCCTATAACATTATCAGCAAAGCTCTGGTTGTCATTCTCTGCTACAATATTTTCTACATTAGTTGCATCTTTAGCTGTAGCACTGTCTTGGGCAGCATCCAGTAGAACTGCATTGCCTATCATATTTTCAGTTCCAGTTCCAGCTTCAGAAGTAAAGCAGTTGTTTTCTGGCCACTCACTACCATCCACTAGGTTTTCATCGTTCAAATTTTCCAGAGCCTTATCAACTTGAGCAGCCAGTGTATGATTAGGTGGCCCACAAGATACTTCCGCTAAAATAAAAGCATCTTCCTTTCCAGACTCATTAAACGAATCGTCCAGAGGTAGACCTGCTATTACATCACCATCGCCACCTAACCCGCCATTATTATGACATGAAAATAATTCTTCAGCAGCAGAGGCGATATTTGTTGCTTCAGCTGCCTGAAAACCTGAAAGGCAAGTTCCCTGTGGTCCTACTTCTGCTGCATTGTCTGAAGGTTCAAGATTAAAGTCATTGGGCACCGCAGCATCAGTGATGGTGTCCAGCCGCAGTTGAGAGGCATCACTATTTAAATGTCGGCCATGCTCATCAACTTCCTTGTTCTCAGTTGGAACAGTAGCCTCAACAGCTCCTAATATGCTATCATCTCTAGCTACATACCATTCATTGCTTCCTTCTATTCCACTATCTCTTTCAACATGTGGTTCATTGAACACCATGGCACGTTGTTCGTCCAAATTCGAGATGGGATTTTCAGCATACTCAGCAGTTATCTGTTGATGTTGTTGCTCCAAATTTGAGATGGGGTTTTCAGCATACTCAGCAGTTACCTGTTGATGCTGTTCCTTCAAATTTGAGATGGAATTTTCAGCATACACAGCAGTTAGCTGTGGGTCAACCGCCATCCCAGTATGAGAACAGCTAACATCACTAGAAGAGACCTTAACTGTACTCAAGTCAAATTTTTGCTTATGTAAAGAAGCCAATTCCACTGACATATCTGCATCAAAATCAAATTCAGTCAATATGATGAGCTAGTATCCATTACAGGAAAGGCCATTGGTATTATGCAGCACCGGAAACAAAGTTAAGAGGAAGGCAATAATGTAACTTCTCCTAACATGAAACAATTAGCAAATGAACTTTAACACTTACAAAACATGTGCTCGTACTTTGAGGGTGTCTTCAGAAAAGCTATCTGACACTCTGACAGCACTTGACATAGAGTCTAACTATACTTATTTGCCAAACACATAAGTTTAACAGTTCCACAGTGTACATCCCAGTAGAGAGATGTTAAATTAATCAATGGAAACGAATCTCCAAGGAACTTGAAGTGTAACTAGATCATATAAGCACTTTGACAGATTAAAAACAGACAATATGTCATCTTTTATAATGTTCTCAGTTATTGATCCACAACAAAAACAATTGCATGATTCAACAAATAAGGAGAAAATCAAATTGCCATCAGTAGTGTCTAGGACAGTATCCCAACCTACACTATGTCTCTATTCAGTATCCCTAAGAAATCACTGCAACATTTGGATAGGTTAAGGAGAAACTTCCTTTGGAAAGGTAATAGTGAAGATCACAAGTTTCATCTGGTTAAGTGGGCCAAGGTCACACAGCCTAAGACTATGGGTGGTCTGGGCATCAGAAACTTAGCTGTTCATAATAAATGTATGCTGTTGAAATGGCTATGGAGATATAGTCAAGAAGGGCCAGCATTATGGAAGGAAATAGTGACTGCTAAACATGGATCACTCGATCACTGGTGTACTAAAACCTCAAGAGCACCACATGGTGTTGGTCCTTGGAAGAACATCAGCAAATTATGGGAAGAGTTCTCCAAAAATTGCAACCTCAGATTTGGGAAAGGACAGCACATCAAATTCTGGAAGGATAAATGGCTTGGTGCCACACCATTGCAGGAGGAATATCCCAACCTATTCACATGTTTGACCCAAAACAACTTAGCTAGAAGATCTTTCCACTTGGCAAACAGATGCCACATGTGCATGCAAAATGAAGAAACAACCAGGCACCTTCTACTACGCTGCCCAGTTTCAGCAGATCTATGGAACATGTTTTTGTCTCTTTTTGGAATGGACTGGGTAATGCCTGGGAGTTTAAAGGAAGCCTTTTTGAACTGGAACAGTTGGAAAGTTGGTACAACCATCAAGAAAATCTGGAAACTAATCCCTTTCTGTATTTTTTGGTGTATTTGGAATGAGAGATAGGAGATGTTTTGATGGAATAGCAACTCCAAACCATTTCCTTAAGGCTAAATGTCTTTTACTTTTGTACAGTTGGAGCACCTTAACACCTGTATAATCCCCTGACAAGTTTTTGGACATTGTTAGCTGTTTAACATTAGTATAGGACTCTTTGTACTGAAGCTAACAAATCTTTTATATCTATATTTCTGCATCTTCTTGATGCCATTTATAATATCTCTTACTTTATCAAAAAAAAAGGAGGAGATAATCAAATAGCAGAATGTGTAGAGTCGTATGTCGAACCCACCAGTTAATACCGCTTCTTTGAAAATTTCATCTTCCAACAACTGCTTCTTGATTGCTGCGATTTCAGCATGTGTGCAAGGAGCTTTCTTCCTTATGCGGCGTATGTCCCCGGCATGTATCAACTGTTGTCTTATCATACTATCACAAATGCAAATATGCTTTATCAGTCAGTTAAAGGGTGAGGCCAGTCAAGCTATTCAACAAAAACCAATTTTTCAGTTCATCGAGGAATAACTTATCAGGAAAAAGTATATAAGGCAGAAATGACAAAACAAAAACTAACTATTTGGAGTGACAGCACCTAACTGAATTGGCCATCATTCAGATCCCACATCAGTTCACTACTAGATAGCAAACACTGGAATAGCCACTAGAAGGGTCAGCTATTGGCATGCCGATAAGACGCAGAAACGAAAAAAAGAGAGTCNGGGGTTAACTATGGTGTTCGAGCCAGCTTGCGCACCTCGACTATTCCACCATGTACCTACATCCTCCCACCACAACAGGCACCAGAAAACTCTGCCCACCAATACTTAGGCATAGATGGGAATAAATCACTTAGCTTTTTTGTCTCTACTGGGATTTGAACCCTGGTCTCCCATGGTCTTTATTCCAGCTTCATCGACCACTAAGCCACAACCTTGGTTGCACAAATGGAAATGATGGAAAAATGTGTTAAGAGGTATATCTTCGATCCAACCAAGAACCAACTTGATTATAAGAGGATCTGTTGAGGATCATTAAGAAGTATTAGGTTGTTCTATTTGTCACCGATATTTTTTTTAACAGCACTGATAAAGTATAGAACGAGAACCAGAGTGCTAGACTAGAAGTCATGATAACAGTTTCCAGATCGCTGAAACATTAAGGAATGGGTTACCCTAATAACAAGGGTTGTGTACTGAAAGTTGACTGAGAAAAAACAAAGAAACAAGACGAGGCGGCCACAACAAATGTGCAACATCGAAGCAAAGCCTATAAAAAGAAATGCCTTTGACCATTGGATCAGAGTAAGACCAGCACCTAAACTCTGGCACACACTAAAGAATTCAGTAATGCAAGAGCAGCTAGACCAAGATTTTATTACGCTACAGATGCAGATCTTATCGACGAGGATGTCGCGCACCGTATAGGGGTGGATTGGATGAAGTGGAGGTTAACATCTGGAGTCCTATGTGACAAGAAGGTGCCACTGAGGCTCAAAGGTAAGTTCTATAGAGCGGTGGTTAGACCAGCCATGTTGTATGGGGCAGAGTGTTGGCCGGTTAAAAATTCTCATATCCAGAAGATGAAAGTAGCAGAAATGAGGATATTGAGGTGGATGTGCGGGCATACTAGGATGGATAAAATTAGGAATGAAGATATTCGGTAGAAGGTGGGCCTGGCCCCGATGGATGACAAGATGCGGGAAGCTAGGCTCAAATGGTTCGGGCACGTGCGGAGGAGAAGTCTGAACGCCCCAATAAGGAGTTGTGAGTGGTTGGCTTTGACGAGTATGAGAAGGGGTAGAGGGCGGCCCAAGAAGTATTGGGGAGAGGTGATCAGGCAGGACATGGCGAGGCTTCAGATTTTCGAGGACATGACCCTTGATAGGAAGGTGTGGAGGTCTAGCATTAGGGTTGTAGGTTAGGAGGTAGTGGAACTCTTTTCTACTTCGTACCGGGGACCCTGATAAGGTTGTGTCCTAGAATGAAGATAAAATTAGGAATGAAGTTATTGGTACGGATCCATTTATAATTGTTTAAATACCAAGATACATTTTTATTCCTTCCATATGGTTTAATCTGTGCTATATTTTGACCACAGGACAGGAAATACAAAATACCCGGTTTAGTGATATAAACTGATGAAAAACCAATACGTATTTGCAGGAAATGAAACAAAAATATACAGATGATGGAACATACTCTCCGTGCAAGACCATGATATCATCCATAAGAACATTCCTCCTTTTACTGGCACTCATTCGGGCAGCAGATCGAGGACGTTTGCTTGATGTTTTCTCAGAAGGTGGAGGAGTAGGCTTAAGCTTCAGTGCTGAAGATCTTCTTCCAGCTGAAATGGTAATGAAGATTGTTACAACTAATAAGGTCTAAACTCAAGCACAAAGTTAATTTCATCTGTCCCCTGTTATGTAAGCTGACAAGGTTACTTCTTTTTTATAAGGATAATATTATGTCGAATGGAAGGATTGAACCTACGACCAGCTTACAAGGTTACTTTGACAGGCATATTATAAACATTACTCTTTGCAGAATTGTGGCAAATAATTTGAAGAGTGGGAATGCTTCACATGAATCAGAAAAGAGGATATATGCCATATTCTAAAGAAGATGAGCCAGAAATTTTCATTAAGATGAAAACTAGTCACCCTCCCATTTTATAAAGTCCGAGAGGAGAATTCTAATGTACCTAGGATAGAAGAAAGCAAATCATCATCATCAGGAATAAATCCTGCAGTCATTTTGGAACGGACCATCCTTGAAGATTCAACTGAGTTGAGACTCTGTTCTGTTAGTGTGCTCTCAGTGTAACTGCGCTTCCTTCCTGAAATGAATTTACCACTAGCATATGCTTCATCGATCCCCGCCAAGTAATCCGGTGTAGCCTCTGAAAAAATACTCCGAGGTAAATCAACAAGCCCTCCTGGCATTGATAGAATCTTTTCAGGAGGTGGCAAGGCAGAAGCAGCTGAACCGCTCATAATTTCCACGAGGCGATCTTCTAGAACGACAGTATCCGCTTGATTAGTTGATTTGTTAGATTCTTTTAAAATGTCTTCGCACGATACAGGTTCTTGCACGGGGTTCTCTTTTGAAATTTGTTCTAAATCACCTGCTGCATGACATGTTTCAACTGAAAGTGTAAGAGTACATTCGCAAACAATATTACAATAAAGCACACAGATTCCCAAGGAACCTAGAACTCTAGCAGAAATACCTGAAACATGTGATTCCTCCTCTTTAGAAGTTTCTGGTGGGTGGAAACCCGAAAAAGTAGATAGTGGCTCATGATTAATAACATGCTCAGACCTAGACATCGATGCATCAAGTTGAGCAGCATTACATCGACTCAGAACATGGACCTGGGCACCAATGGCATCTTCAGCAAAAACACTTTGTTCCAGACAATCAACAGTCTTTGGTGTCTCTAAGCAAGTTATATCTTGGGATTCACCAGCATCCAAATTTCCTGGAATTGCAACGTTATTTGAGACTGCCTCAGGTGATCTCTGATTACTAGGTGAAATATCTTCAGGAACAGGCTGGCCAATGCTACTTAAAGCAGAAACATCATGGCCAACTTTTGTGGTACTAATTCCATTTGGAAGTGGAGCGTCGTCGTGGAAGCCACCAGGGGTAGATACATCAACCTTGTCCATGCCAGAAAGCATGCACTGTGTGTTCCTCTCATTTGTTTGACAATCAGATGCAGCAATAATCTCATCTGCACATTCTCGTGCAGATGATTTTGAATTAGCCTGATGAACAGCAGCAGAGGATGGTCCAGATGCTACAGGGGGGTCACTTGACGTCACAGGATCAATTGCAACTTCACTTGGAGGCATCTGACCATCCGGCGCCAGTTGTTTGTCACACGTGTTGCCTAAATGGTAACCATTCTCCTCAGGAGCCATGAAGAGAACATTATCAGCATTAGAGCCATCAGTTAGTGCCTGATTTTCTAGAAGTTCACTCCCATTATTCACGTTATTTTCACAAGAGAGATTCTCTGAATTTCCTTTTACAGCATATTCCGTTAAATGACGATCTTCCAGTCCTAGATGGTCCTCGCATGCTGATGTTTCCTGAATGTTAGACAAGTTCGGTTCTTCCGCCAACCCAGGAGTGCATGGAGCATGATCCATGAAATCAGCATCGCCATCAACTCCATCAACCTGAAAGAAAAGGCCTTGATCATTCTAGCATAAGTATGCAAAGGTACATAAAATGAGATGTTTGACACACAAAACAACAAATAGTCGATAACCAGCTATTATATGGAATAAAGGACAGATAGACTAGTTACCATGCTCTCGGAATTTGCAGCCATCTCTTCATGGTGTTCTTCTTGTTTGAGTGGTGTCATTGGTTCAACGGATGCTAGAGGATCAGCACTAGAATCAGTAAATTTTTGTGTCAGATAGTCATATGATTTAAACTGCAATAATACAGAATTGCAGCCTGATGGATTGGCAATCAAAACACCTTTTATAGATGTTTGATCTGCCCCAACAGAACCCCAAGATAAGAAGTCAAGAGAGTCAGAAAAAAATTCAAAAGAAAAGAAGAACATCAAGCTGCATTTTTTTTGGCTCATTTCCCGCCAAGAATCCAACCAGACGTATTAGCCCTGGTATTCAATAACCCTATTTAGCACTAGATGGGTTCTGCATCAATTACTTAGTAAACCATCTTGGCAGTAGGGTACTCATACACTTGAAAGAATCTTAACTGCAGAGAGAAATGTGAATATAATAGATTTAAGGCGCAGTGAGCCTCTAGCAGATAAGATTTACAGAGTTTTGTAAACTAGATTGGACACCTTTCACCACAGTAATATCAACAAAATCACATTCCTTCTCCCCACTTACCGTTAAATCCAAGGGGATTTTAGAAACTTAACTAGATAAATGGAATGCAGTTATAATCAGGTATGAAATGGCTTGAATCTGTCACACAAAATGAGGGCATAACGGGAGGTAAAAAAAACCATATCATAGTTTTAAATTAGATNATATATATGGCTTTAATCAGAAATATCCTTTTGGACATGGAGATGGGGGAATATTGTAAGAGGCAGCGTATAATTTGAGATCCACCTCACACTAGGATCTCCAGCAGCAGCAACCTTGTCCATAAATAATTCCTGTTTGCAATTAGAAGTCCAAAAATCAGAATGGAAGACAGATAAAATGACATAACACTATAATACATATTTCATCCTTTATCAAAAGGAAATACACATTTCTTCATAAAAGGAGCACTATATATATGACCAGTTCTAGCCATATGAAATAGGTTTCCTGCATCAATGGAGGACTACAGATTAACAGATATCGGACATAATTCATGTAGAAAATATGCCATTAGTGACCATGAAGCTTGAACAAGATTTTTTTAGTTAGGAAGTTTCTCTTCTCATGACAGGATAAATAAAACTATATACACCATGACTGATTATTCTTCCCTTGAGATCCTCTAGAAAGAATTTTGTATATCCTCATAAAGATATACTTCTTTTTAAGTGTCTTTTTGTCCTGTAAGGCGAAGTGCTCAAGGCAAAAAAATACTTCACACAAGAAAATTAATTTGCAACATTGAACCAATAAAAAGAAAGGGGAAGGTAAAAGAAGGTAAAGAAAGGAAAAAAACAATAAAAAGAAAAGGGAAGGGAAGGGGAAAGAAGGTAAAAAGGAAAAAACAAAACATTGAGACACATGCACATACGTGGAGAAAACACTAAATTGAGATACATGCTACATGGAGAAATTAATATAAAATATTGAACCAATAAAAAGAAAAGGGAAGGGTAAAGAAGGAAAAAAAGGAAAAAATAAAACATTGAAACACATGCACATACATGGAGAAAACACTAAATTGGAGAAGCTGCAGTAAATCTATCCAATATTCCACAAAGCTCAACTGTTCTAGCACCATAGAAATAAATAAACACTTGAGAAACTTTCATTTAGAAGTAATACAACTTGATAAACTTACGGGTGCTTAACTAGAAACAAAATACCGGCTTTTTTTTTTATAAAAAATCATTCCCCACGAAAAGCAACCAAGTTCCTTTTCCCCAATGCACCCACAAGATAGCAAAAGGGGTGACATTCAGTGCTTTGGAAAAAATCATTTTCCATTCAATTGTTCTGCTCCTTATCCCTTTGGGAGTTGGAGCTTGTAGGTCCTCCACTTCCTAGAATGCACCTTCTACTTTCCATAGATTTCGCTATTCTATAATACCATTTTATCTCTAGCACTAAACTCTAAAAAGAAATTTCAAGGAACTCAACTAAACAAGACAGAGAGGTTGCATCAGAACATCAGTAGTTTCGGCACAGACAAACATGCAGGTAAAGAAAAAGAATAAGCAGAACTTGGAAGCATCCCATTTCCAAAGGAAAGAAAAGGGAAAAAACACACTATATCATGTTCAGTGAAGAGGTGCTTCCAATTGAACAAGTTTAGATTGTAAAACAGGATGAAGTCTTGTCTAAGTGGACAAAAATCAATCACGTTCCTGCTTCCTAGTAGCATCCAGGACTACAGAATATGGTCAAAAATCAATCCAACATTTGGAGATTACTCAAAATCAAAACAGCTTCAATAATCATATTGCTGAAAAGCTA